AAAAGCCTCTGACCAGATTTGGTCTGATTTTGCCTGGTTGGCATTTTTCTGAATGTTTTGTACTTTTCTTTTTTTCTTTTCTTCCTGGGTTGAAGAAACACCTTAGGACTGGTCAGAAATGATGTGCAGTCCCTGAATCCCATGTCAGGAGCCTGGCAAGGTCTGACTTGCACTGTGGTCATACCTTGCTCCTTTTTTTTTTTTTTTTCAATGAGTTGAGCAATTTCAGAAGATGTCAAATATTCATTCCCCAAAAAGTTCTGGATGAGAAGGGCCCTTTGTCCTGCCATCAGTGAAAGGTAGAAGGAAGCTCCCATCCACCACTGTCTGGATACAGCCTGCTTGACATTTCATCCCTTTTTGTTATCCCTTCTTCCACCCAAAAGTGGATCCAGTTTTACTGCTGCTTGCCTCCAATCTCTCCTTTTGTGCAGCCTGAGGTTTTTTGATGCTGAACAAGTCCCCTCTGAGGTCACACATACACTGAGGAGGAGACCCCACCAGCTGGAGCTTCCACCATGCAGGGCCACTCAGATTCCAAGCCCACCAGGGCTACAAAGGGCAGTCTGGGGTAAATTGAGTCTCAGATATGTGAGAAATCTCCCTCTTTGTCTTTTGGAGCCACTCTTGTGACTGACAGAGGCCTGCAGAGGCGATCAGCACACTGCCTAATTTGTGGACTGCCCAGGATGCTCACTGCAGTGGTTGTCAGCGGGAAGATGGAGCAGTGCTGAGGAGCCAAGAGAATCCCTCAGTCCTGTGGGAGCTGCCCAAGCTGTGGAGCTCACAAAGTGCCTACCACACTGGGGCAGAGTCTCCTTACCAGCCAGGGACAGTCAAGGGCCAAGACATTTTTCTGCTTTGAAATCACTCCAGAAACAATTTACATGCAATTTTTAAATTTTTTTTCCTTTATTATTTTTTTCCACACATCTTTGTCTGCTGCAATGTTGGAATAAGGTCCAGTTGGTTCACGAATGTTCTGCCTGGCTGTTCACTGCCATTCCCAGTGGGGAATCTGGTCACACAATTTCACACTCAGCACAGCATGGGGAGGAGGAATGAGGCCTGGGGAAGCTGCCACTAATGCCTGATGTGTAGAGAGAGAGTCAGCACACCTTGAGGATCCCAAATGTTTCTGAAATCTGTTTTTCTGGTGAGTTTCTTCCCACCAGAAATTAAGGGAATCCTTCGCCCTTCCTTCTCTGCTCTTTTAACTCTGGATTTCTTGGCAGCTTCTAATTCTGTGGATAGCTATTTGTTCACTGAATTTTCTCACACCAGCTGGGAAGCAAAGTCCTTCTGTGAGCTTTAATGTATCTGTGTGTTTTAATAATGCATTACTGTTGATTTTATACAAATATCACTATTTAAGAACTTCAAAGTCTTTGGTGTTCCCCCACCCTTCAGACTGCACTTCTCGCTGCTGCTGTTGTTAACACTCCCATGCGTTTCAGCCCTGGAGAAATAAATATTTGTTTAGCTGTTCTCCTGCTGTGCCTGCTCAGTGCATTTGTTTAATGATGACTTCAGTTTAGCTTTGCAAAGGGGTTTAGGGAAACAGATTCTCCCAGAAAAGCAATTTGTGGACAATTTTCCCTGTGTTTGTGCCCTCCTCTTGCCACCCCACCCCTTTTTTCCCTGGATTAGTGTTTGATTAAATAAATGTGCATGGGAAAAACTTCAAGATCAGCTGTGGTGAGCAGTCAAAGTTTTGACTGTTGTTTGTTTTTTTTTCCCACTCCACTTATCTTCACCTAAAACAGTGAGTTGAAGGTTAGATTCAGCAAGTACCTGCTGCCCTTTCTTGTCATTACCTAAATTTTCTTTAATCTGTAATTTTCTTTTTCTCCTATAAAATATCAAATCATGTGTTGGCTCATATAAACACTTTCTCTAGGGCCAGGCCCAAGCTGGCTCTACCCCAGCCTTCCTGAGTCAAATGAGAGGTTTTGCCTTTCACTCATGACAACAAGTTAGTCTATGCTATCACATTTTTTTTGTCAAAATGAGGACAATGATAACCTTCAAAATCTACATTTGTGCATCTAAATGAAGGGTCAGCTTTTTATTCCTGGAAATTCAGTACCACTTGCCAAAGAAATGAACAGAGGATTTTATTAATCCCTTTGCCATTTCAAGTAATTTTTTACAGCTGAACCTGAAACTCTTATATTAAACAAACACCCACAAATACAAAAAAAAGAGAAAAGGAACACCACCCCCAGTCCCCCAAAACAAAACCCAAAGCTCCAAGACCCATGAAATAGCATTATAAAAACTCAGACTCTGAAAAGCTCTAAATTTTGTTAGGTTTGTTTGGTTTTTTACCATTTTTATAACTGTCTTGATAGTATTTAAACTACTCATGCTTCATTTTTGAAATACAACAAATATAATTTTGCCAATAACTAGATTCAACTTCTTCTAGAAAGCAAAAATCACTTCAGTGAAGTAACACATCAGACTCTCTCTTCATATATTTCCAGCTGACAAGGTTTTAGCCTATTGCAGATTTTTTTTTCATTATGCTTCAGTGCATGACCTGACACTTGTGTGGCTGAGTTTCATCTGACTACAATCATTCTGGCCCTCAAAGTCATCCCACTGCTTTTTTTACTTGTATGATATTCAGAACCTCCTCCATAATGATGATTCATTCCACAGTGTGTCATCAGCAAATTTTGTTGGCATGGTCCTCCTTTACTGTGCCAAGAGCTGTGATGAAAATATTATGTAAGATTTATCTCAAGAATAATCTATTAGGAATTCTAGTCATAACTTTCCTTTAGCCTGATTAAGATAATGGGAAATAGGAAAAGGAGTTCATGTGCAAACTGTATCCCAAAACCACGAACTGTACTCAGCAGATACTTGTACAATTTGTTTTTAAACATAGCTGATGAGATTCCATAATCTTCACAAATGTTCCATATCAGTAACTGAGTCTCCTACTCACTGAAGTACTTCTATCCCTAATGTCTTCCCTGAGTCACCTCCACCCACATTTTCCTTGTTTTTCCTGTGCCAAATACAGCCTCAGAATTAGCTTAGTCCCTTTGTGAGTGATGCTTCTGCACACAAAGCCCAATTTCCTGTCCTGACACATTTGTTGTCCTGTTCCTTTGAGCTGTTTCCATCAGAAGTTGATGCTCTCATGCATTAAAAGTTCCACTACGGGCATTTGTTGGAACATGAAGCACCACCCACTGAATTTGATGTTCACTTGGCTCAGGAAGCAATCCCCTGAGCAAGGTCATCTTCCTCTCTTTCTGAAATTTAACTGAGGACAAAGCTCCCCTCAGTTTCAGGATCTCAGTACTCTTTTGAAGGTTTCTTTTGCAGGAAGCCAGAGAACATTTCCTCTCATAGACCTCCTTAAGTATTTTATCCCATATATCAAATTAACAGTTAATTTTTCCCAGCATTCCTTATGAGTGCTTTACTCTCTCTCCCAAAGGTATTCAGGATATCCTGCAGGCTTCTGCCATGTAATTTGACAGAAATTAAATGATATCTACTTAGGAGAATGCATTCTGTGTACAAATTACCACAAAGTTAAATATTATGTTACCAAAAATACAAGTTGCATTTGGAAACACCTATATATAATGCTAATAAGAAACCCAATTCCATTTTATTCTAATTAAGCTGGAAAAAAACTTCCTTTTTACAACATGAGAGAGACTTCAAGATATTCAGAATGTTAATAAACCCACAGGTATTTCTACTTTTTTATATCTCTTGACATACAGTATTTATCAAGAATTTTTGCTCATTTCAGTATTAGTCTGATTTTCTCAGTCTAGAGAAGTTCAGCAGTTTGAACCATTGCCTCTCATTTGCTAAATACAAAGGAAATGTCATTTTCCCCAGTTTTGGTAAGAGATGGATTTCATAAATATTCCAATTGTATTAGTTAGAGAAGGTAGCAGCCCTAAGGCTCCGTAGGAGAACCCTGGACAGCTCAAAGAATTCACCATGGCCACAATGACTGAACAATGAGCTGTGGTAAGGGCCCTTTGTGTTTCACTGGCAACATAATATTCTTACAGCAGGCGATATTATGACCTTTCATACAACAGATCCAAGCTGGATCATTTTTTTGTGGTTGTCACTAGCTTGTGCTGAGCCCAGATTGGCTCAGCCTAATGGTTATGAGGTTTCTGAATAGAGTCTGAAAATCAAAATGAAATCAGAATCCATTTTTTCTATCTAGTTGGTAGGAACAAGCTCTGAGACTTCAATCAACCTGAGGATGAGCTGCCCTTTAGTCTCCAGATGTCATGCCTTCAAAGGAGAGCTAAAACTCATTTATGGAAATACTTGGAGTCCTCCCCTCCACCCCTCAAATGAATAGTCATAAAGCTGTAGGGTTCTTAAAGCCAGATCTTCAGTAATAGCACAAAATACTGCCTTTTATACTGTGCTGCTAGTGCTGCAGAATAGTGAGGTAGATTTTTCCACCCAGAGAGCAGCACCCTGTTAACATTTAAGTTAGTGAAGTGGAAATTTCTGTGACCTAATTTAAGAACCAGTCAAATGTCTTAGGTGAGAAAGTTCCACCAAAACGTAAATGCCACTGTTATTTCTGCTTTGATTAAGAGTCCAGGTGAAGGGGCGGGGGGAATGGTTATGGTACAGGGGAATGCAGAGGAGACGAAGGAATCCAATATCCAGGTAATGGAACAGCTTAACTCCTGAGCATGGGGGATCTGGAAAGCTCACTTTCAACTCCTGCATATGACAGCCTTGCTTTGTGTTATCTGAGAGGGAAGAGGAAAAGCTGATATTAATAGTGAACCCAGATGAATTTTCTGAAAGTCTGTGAGGCATCATTTATAGCCTGTGTGCCAGAAACGTGCTTCCCCTCCAGGCCATGATCAAAAAACAGCGTAAATGAGATTTGGCAATGTGAGTGAAGCTGCTCTCTCTGCTGAGAGACTCCTTCCCTTGCTCCACTGAACTCTCCTCATGTCCCTGTGTTCTTGCTCCTGCAGTCCAGCACGTCATTCAACAGGGATGCTGTGAAAGCTGGGACAGGCCGGCGCTTTCTTGGCGGGCTCTTAAATGACACATCCTACTGCTACACCCTGGAGGTCTCCTTCTACAGCTACATTTTGGGTGGAACTGCTTCTGCCGTGCCCTACACCGAAGAAGCCTGTATCCTTTTGAAATCCATCCTCTTGAAGCACACGTGAGCCAGGCACTTAAGGTAAATACTTCTGTCTCCATAAGAGTTTGCTGAGATAGAAACACACACAAGTGGAAATGTGAGTCTGCTCCTGGTGCTTTAATTTCCCTCCTATTGATTCTCCATACTGTTAAAATTCAAGAAGAGAAAGACATTAGATCAAATAAGCCATTTCCCTCTTGTAGGAGATTGTCTCACACACTTGTTATAGAAGCTAGTCCTGGAGAGTCTGTGATCCATTCCCTTCCACAGTCTTCCATTTCTTTCTTCATTTCTCTCCTTATTCCCTCATTAGCCCTGTGTTTGTGTTATTGTTTTAATAGCAAGTTGAGAGTGCATCTTTGGTACTGAGTAAAATATCTTCTCTGCCTTTGAACTGGGTCCATTAGGTTCTGCACCTGCCTTGAGGACAAATCTTCAAGGCCAGTTGACAAAAAAATGGAAGTCAAATTGTGAAAACAAAACCATCAAAGTTGTTGGCATTTTTGAGTGCTCAAATAGAAGCAGTGTCTCATTCCTCAAAAAACACATATCCATCTGGCTATCTCAATGTATCAGCAATTTGTAGAATTGTTCTGACTGGTCTTATGATCTGCTTTTATGTTTTTCTTTTTCTTTTTGTCACCATGCTCAATCAAACACCCAGTGCCCATACTTCAACGCTGGGTATGTTATTTCATTTTGTCATTCTGTCTTGGCAGCTTTAGAAATTTCCAAAGGTTTAGAAACACTGGAGAAGGAGAGGGATTAGCTGTGACTGCCTATTTACCTCCCTGCTGCATTTTGGAAGCTGGGGGTAACAAGGGAGAAATTTTCATATGAGACATAATTTTTCACCATCCATGTGCTCTCGGTGTGGGAATAAGAGCAAGAAACAGGGAGTAGGGAAAGGAATTGTTTGTCATTTGGGCTTTTGTGGTTTGACTTCTCCACTGAAAGTGAAATCTGGGGGAAGGAGAGAGATGAATATATTAAAGTGACTTACCTGGCTTGAGCATTTGGAATAGAAGCTCTTTTTTATAGATCTTTAATAATAGCTCTTTTTTGCCCAGCAAAGTCAACTGAAGGAAAAGCTCCTTGCAACATACACAAATGTAGTATATCTTGCCACTGTGGAAATAAATTGTTGTCACTGTTAGGTTTAGGTATTTATTTTCTTAAGTTGGTATTTTGGTGTTTCAAGAACCTGTGCCTTAGTTTCACCTTTAATTTTCTTCCTCACTTCATGCTCATTGTGCTGAAAACTGCTTATTTCTCTTTATTTATCAAGAACAGCTTTTACAGCGAGGAATGGAAAGAGCCATACACATGAGATCATGATTCCCTTGGATATGTTTTCCTTCATGACTGGTAGATGAGACTGGTTTAGTTTCCTTTTCCATAAAGATTTCTGGTTTGTGCTTCACATTGCAGACGTTTCACCTGTGGGGTCCAACATCTCCATTTGCTTGGCTTGCCTTGCCTGCTGCAGGCAGAGATGCTCCATTCTCTGTTCATTCCATCAGCAGCTGGGGCACAGCAAACAGGCTCCAGATCAGAGAATCTTGGAGCTGGCATAGGGAAAGCTCAAGCAGCAGCTTGGTTTCTGCAGTTAGGGTTTCACCCAGCTGAGTGGGAAAGGAGGAGAAGCAGCTTTTGGTTGGCCTGGCAGACAGCAAGCAGGGGAAGCTCTTTTGCCTGTGGAGTATGCTCCACTGGAATTTTGCCCTGGAAGGTTTTATTATTTCTTTTTCAATGTAGGAATTCTATCCAGAGTACTGCCTATAAGATCTTTTCCTCACGTGTGCAGTTTTCTAGTTAGTGAAAGAAATGGAACTGCTTGAAATAGTCTCTAGACTGGTCTGATCCAACACAGGAGTGGCCACTGGATTTATGCACATCCTGTCCTGGCAGGGGAGAAAATTTCACATCACTGAAGTGCCTATGACTGAAAGTAAAACAATTGCAGAACATTCCAGTTTAGCCTGAGCAGCTCTTCCAAGCTATTTGCAAGTCAGTGATTAATTAATGCTCAGATTTTTTAATGGACCTGAACCAAAGACACAGGCAGTCAGTTCATATTGGCCTCCAAGGACAGGGCTGTTTCTATTAACTATCTACTTACATGCAGGCAGCAACTCAAGCAAATAAATGAAGAAAATACAGTGAGCCCAAGAACTGTGACTTGATAGTGCAAGTATTCTGGAAATCTGCCTTTAAAGATGTATTTCTTAGAACTTTGTTCATCCCACTGTGATGTTATTTGGTTGTATGAGTCTTTTTTCCCTTTCATTTTCTTTTCCTTTACTTTTTTTCTTTTCTTTTTCTCCTTTTTCCCTTTCCTTTCGATGGAAACAGGATCAGGGAGTCTGTGATTGTTCAAAGCTTCTCCTGTTGGATAAAGAGGTACAGGCTGAGATTCAGCCTCAAACTCAGATCACCCATGACCATGGAAAGAGACTACAAAGTGGATCACACATCCAGAACTAGCCATATTGGCTCTTTTTAGAGAAAAAAAAACAATTAGGATCTCCAGATTCTGAAAAATATTAATTTAGCCTAATGTTGTTCCTGTTGACAGGTAGGGAAACCGAATACTCTGAACAGAATTTTGTTTGCACTGGTGATAGGTAATGATACCTGTCAGCTTTTTTTCTTTAGAGCATTTGTGGCAAATAAGATCACAGTACTACTCCCTTTCATGCCATTATATAGGTGGATTAGGTTTGTTGGTGGGTTTTTTATCTCTTCATGTTCTCCAGGTTTTATATGCTAACTCTGTAATCCATATGAACCTTTGTGTGACAGTAATAGATATATTTTTACATTGGGTGAGATTATCCATTTTTTTCAGATTTGTGTGACTGACTGAAACATACTTTGTAATTTTGAGATAAGTGGATACCTTGCATGCATGGAAATGGAAGACAGACTTTCAGAATAAGTGTTTGAATTCTCACCATTAGTGTGGACAGTAACTTTTTCAGTAAGAAAAAAAGAATGGGAAGGTATCTTTAGAAGTGGAAATCAGTTTCAAATTACTCCAGTTAGTATGAATGTTCGAAATGAATTGGTTCAGAATTTAGAGGATGATACCTGGAATGTTCTGGAAACAGATTGGATACTGAGGCTGCACTATTTAAATGAAATCCAGGCAGGAAGGATCTTCCTTCAGCCTGTGCAGGGGGTGTATGTTTGGGGCATGTATGGTGGGATAACAACATGCAAGTGTGTTGAGTTTCTGGCCCTTTCTAAAACAGAGAATTAACATGATTGCATCAATGTCTCAGGCCTTGATTGGAATGATATTACTGCTGGAGTTCCTCTTGTGTTTTCATCCAGCAAACAAAGCACTTAGACATTCCTGCAGAGCTGTGTATGTACCTGCTAGGTCTGTGTCTAACAGATACATACCTGGAGTGTGAGAAACATTAGGGATGTGTTCTGTAAGCTCTGCAGAAAACCCTACGATAACACATGCTGCAGATAACAGTGAATGGACTCTGTTTCAAAGGCATAATAAGAGGATTGCAGGCTTGTCTGTTACTCGCCTGGAAGTGGACAGAGAAATGTTTAAAACCCTTCTCACACATGCACGCGTTTGGTGGTAACTGATTAAAAAAGGCAGCACAACAGCAGTTAGCTCAGCACCAGGTGAAGGAGCTTTAAAATGAGCTGATATGCTTCCATTATATTCCATGTTTTACTAGGCATTTACAGGGCTTATGACATGAGGCTTGTAAACTGCTCTGTAAAACTCACCACCAGCAGCTCAGCTGCTGAGCTGTCTCGATTCACAGCAGCCTCTGAGCTGGGCAGGGAGCAAGGGATAAAAGAGGGGGAAGCAGGATGAATCCCCAGATGCAGGGCTGAGCCCTGCTCTGACAGCACACCCAGAATTGGTGTTTTCAGTATCCCACTACAGCTGTGAGCAGCAGCCATCGCAGCCTGACCTGAGAGCAGCCAGCAAAGAACTCTCGCATCAACAGCTTTAAAATCTATCTGGTTCATTTCTTAGAGTTTTTGAACTGGATCCTTGCTGCAAAGGAGGCAGCCTATAAAAGAGAATAAAAGGTTTCACTCTTCCACAGCCCAGCCATGAGGCAGGAAGGCAGAAATGATGGAGACCTGGCAGGAGCTGGCACTACAGTAGCTGTAGGGGAGGAAAATCATCGAGATGGGTGGGCATCACAATTGTCAGCATGTCCATAGCTTTTTCTGTGTATTTTTATCTTAATTGCAAGCTTCCTCCAGGTGGAGGAGGACCCCATCCAAAGGTGCACTGCTGAACTCTCTCATGTTTGTGGGAATAAAGATGTATTTATGTGGCTACAGCCACAGAATGAAGGCTTGGATTGACTAGAATCTCTTTAGACACCTAACAGGAGCTCACATCCTGGAGTCTCTGACCAGACCACTGGGTTCATTCTTATTCTTAACTTCAAGCAAAGTATCTGCCTACTGCTTGACTGGGGACTTGAGAAGTTAAATCCCCAGAGGAAACAGTCATTTGTAACATCCAGATTCCTTTTAAAGAGTACTTGTATCTCAGTAAATGCCTGTCCTGGGGAAAAAGAATCTGTATGCAAACTACAATTCCAGTAAAAGCATCTATAACTTTTAGAGCTTCATGTACCTGCCAGTCCCCTAGGGCAAATGTACTTGGTTATTTTGGGCTTTTTTACATTTCTTTTTTTGGCAACTGCCTGTCCTGATCCTCCTATCTCTGTTAGTGATATCCTTAAGAGAAGATCCTCATGAGACAGATTATGGCCCTTGCAGGTTCGTTCCCCGCCAGTAAAGGCAACATTACTAGCAAAAGCCAATGAGGTATGAAAAGCTGTGCTGATAAAGCTGAGGGAGCTCTGCAGAGGTTATCCAGTGTGGCTTAGGTTTGAACTTCAGTTAGAGGTTCTTGCCAAGATGATTTCAAAGTAAATCAGGCACATATTCTGGGAAAGGCATCCAGAGGTCTACTTCTGCTAAGCTT